ACCCTAAACTAGCGTATTTCCAAGGATTTAGGACACTTGGGGTGGTGCAGAATTTCATCCATGAAGCCGCATGAGGTCCTGACAACCTACTGGCCGGAGGATGAGAAGGACCTGTTCATTGCCATGTGAGCTGCTGCTCTTCAGGGGTTGATCTAAAGTTCTTTTGGGGGAACCTTTCAATGTTTTTAAATCCCTGTATGGGGAAATCTAGGGGACATTGTTTTTCATAATGGCGGCTCAGGGAAAAGGAATTTGATCAACTACCATTCCCCAGCAATCTGCTGGGGAGTCGACAGCAGGACATTCTACCGATTTCGTAAATCAACACTATGGTAACTTGTTATACCCAAGCCCTTAACTCTAAGTCCCCTCATATAAGCTGATAGCCTGACAAGCCTACTGCATATGCAACATATCCTTACTGAAATCTGCGTTGCGTTGGCTCTCTCTCTCTCTCTCTCTCTTTCTTTGTCTCTCCCTCTCTCTCCTCTATCTCTCTCTCTCTCTCTCTTCTCCTCTCTCCTCCTCTCTCGCCTCTCGCTCTCTCCACGCGCATGGGGCTGGCAGGAGAAGCCAGTCATTGTTGACGGCCGCGTGCTCCATGATGATGAGTCTGCAGTTGCGCCTAGGCAGAGGACAAGAGGTAGCTAGGTGGATAGACTTTACGCTGTTGGGTTAAGACCGCCTAGATTGTTTGGGCCCGGGGAACTGATCAACTCGGGTTATAGTGGTCTCCAAAAAATGGAGTGTCCCTTTGTTGGGATTCTTTTATAATATTTTGGGGTCCGTACGGGGGACCCACCTAAGTACCCCCCACCCCCCAAGCTACGTGGCTACGTGCAGGAATGATCTGACTCCATCGCATCCTGACAAGCAATCAACCGCGCCGTTTGGCATTCAGCTAAGGGTTCCCAGAAACAGAGGACAGAATGTATAGATCTCCAAATATCATGAGTTTGATTGTAGGGACTGGTTAAACGGGGCCCCCACCCAATTTCTGGAAGAAACCAGCCCGCAATATGGGACATAGTCGAACATGATGTAGTGCTACCTCGGAATCAGATGCGGAAGAAGCTGAGTGGTTTTTTAGAAGCTGAAATGGAAGCTCCATAAATGTTTCTCCTGGAACGGTAACCCAGTTCACTGGGTTGCTGTTAGGGAACTTAGATTAAGTTACAAAGATAAGGAAGCCCCATTATTAGTACGTTCTGAATAAAACCCTAAACCCTGAGCCCAAGAAGCTAACAACACTCAGCCCTTAGCCCTACTCCTTTTTGCAACGCCCAGGTCGTGTACGACAACCCCCTTGACAATGTAGAGGCCCAGGGATGCAGGGATGGGCGTGCTGGTGAGTATTATATTTCTATGCTTACTACTATTATTATTAGTATTATTACGATTATTACTATTATTATTACTATTATTACTATTATCTAACTACTCTTATTACTACTATTATTACTATCATTATTATTATTACTGTTATTACTATTACCCTCATTGCGGCTTGGATTCTTTCCCAAAGGCTCCATGTAGCTATATAGTATATACTTGGGCCCCAAAGGGGTTCCCATGTAATTACTTTAGAGCCCAGGTATATACCATATAGCTACATGGAGCCTTTTGGTTTGTGTGCCCAAATCAACCGCCACAGCTGGGCTACACATTTTCTCAAAATTGACTATCGGCTTCCTCGACACCCACTCAAAACTTCGGTTGCTGCTTGCAGCTAGGGAACTGTCACAGGCTATGGTTGCTCATGCCTGACCCATAGCGATCAGAGCCTCAAATGGGCCACGCAGTTTTAGATGACATACGGGTGGATGAAACTGCTGACAGTCAGGGGCGTTCTGACAAATCTGCTTAATGGGGGTTTGCAGGGAACAGAGGAAAATATCATCCAGGGATCATATACGGATTAGATCATGGTTTCGGGGTTATTCAGGGATTATATCGGGATTATAATCCCTCATTCCCTACTAACCCCTGAGTAAGTATGGGTTTCTCAAGAGCCACCTACAATCCTCCAGAGGGACGCCATGATCCTTTTGTGACTTCCATGCCCTTCGTATCCCTAAGCCCTAAACCCGTACCCTAAACCCTCAATCCTATGGGCTTTAGGGGATAGAGGGGGTACATAGGGCTAATATTGGGATATATAGGGTTTAGGGTTTAGGGTGTATCCCCAAACGTGCGTTTGGCCATCGGAGAAACTTCCTGGAAGAAGGAGAGCAGTTTGCCAGATCAGACCTCGAGACGACCCTACAGACTTTTACCATGGGGGCTTAGGGTTTAGAGTTTAGGCCCCCCCAATCCTTGATTCTCCTCATGATTCCTAAGGCCTATAGTTCCCCTTACGTAGATAGAATATGGTTTTGGGTATTTACAATCAGATCCCCATATACCCCATAGTCTATCTACTTAATGGGGACTGTACACCCCCCTGAACCCACAATCCTAAAAACCTAGACCGTTGCAGTGCCAGTGCTGGAAGCTGTGCCATGTTCGGAGTCCCTTCATGTTCACCATGCATAGGAGCCCCCCAAAAACTCGGGATCCCTTTTTCGGGAGTCCCAACAACACGGAGTATGGTTTGTTGGGGTCTATAGAACCTCGCATAGAACACTAGCTTTCGTCCGCGCTGCTCGAAAGTACAATTCTTCTGAGACCAAGCGCTATATCGGAGTCTCTCGGCAAATAAACTCTCTAAACCTCTTACGAGGGCTCATCCCATGATGTACCTTAGGCCCGTAGGCCCCTCACATCCCTGGCTGCCTGAAGGCTTAAGGCCTAGGTATGGAAGAGCTGAAGATTTGTTCGGGAATGACCTGGGTTCTCCCTCAGTTAGTATTGTACATATACCTACCTAGCCCAAACCCTATAAACCGCTACCTGAGCCTTCTTTGCATGTCATTTTCTTTTTCATCTGATTCTCCAGCGTTCCCAATCTGTAGGCCTCTATCTTCAGCTGAGGGCCCCTTTGTCTGAAGTTCTATAATAGTAATAGTATTAATATCATTTCCTTTACTACTACTATTACTAGTACTATTATTACTGTTATTATTACTATAGTCTTATTACTACTATTTGCTATTGCTAAACCCTACACCTGGGAGGATTTGGCCCGCATCTTCTTTGATCGCTGCCTCGAGGCAAGACAATTGCTTGGCTGCCCGCAAGCGCGCTTTCGATGTGGCAAGGGGTTATAAACTACTTTTTCGGGGTTTGGTTTAGGGTTTAG